TCATCTTTATATGTATCTTGATCAACACACAGTTCATCAAATGTAAGTCATGTATTCATTCTCCAGGATGAAACTTTCAATCTTATCATCATCATCTTCTTCTTCATGTGCCTTTTCATTTATACACCTGCAATGAGAATACAATCACTATGACACAATTCCATAATCGATTATTACAAGGAATCATATAAAACAACCAAATAAATGAAAAGGACTTTTTTTATATGAACACCACAGTTTTACATCAATGAAGACTTGATCAATGAACACCACAATTTTACATTATTATGAAAAGAAGCATGGGGATCATGACACAAAAAATATCTGTTTATCTTATTTATTTATACCTAAACAAGTGCATCCGGACACCACTCAAAGATAATCAAAAGAACACCCGAGATGACGTATTTTTCAAAATAAATCCACTAGCAATCTGAATTCAAAAACAAATTGTAAAATCATTTGCTCATATATCGTTCATAAAGCTGTATTGGAAGAAAGAACAACAGGTCACATAGTTTTATGTATCTTAGAGCACAAATATGATGTATATGATTTACTTGCCTCTTTGTTAAAAAAATGTGACCGATTGATTTGCTCAGCTCATCCATCTCAAAGAAAGCACCAGTTCTCCAGTTGTTAAGTTACTGCCTTTCAAGGAGCTCCTGGCTCCACATAGAAACAAAAAATTAGATATGAAGGCAAGAGAGTATAAGGATAATAAATGATGAGAATATTTCTTTTCTTGGATACCCTCTTTATTTATTACAATATGAGGGATTGAATAGGAAGGAATTCAAAGCTGCAAGCTACTCTTATTCTATACATCCAATGCATGCCTAACTTTGGAATGTAATAAATTTTAATTTAAATTGCAAGTGAAATGATTTTGCAAGACTTGAGAAGTTGAGATCTATTCTTAGAGATCATCAAGAACGAAAAAAGACTGCGTAATCAATTCATCAATATAATCATCAAGAGTCATATACATGAACTACGAGGCACCTAGATGATGAAAATTCAAGAGAACTTCAAAGAAAGTGGTGAGGAACACTTTTCATACTAAACAGGGCAGTAACACACTTCTAAAGATCAGAAGATCAAAACAGGAATTTGACAATAGGATATGAGAAGGTCTACTGCAGGAACAACATACTAAAATTTGGTGAAGACTGGAGTTCGTTTAGTCCTCAATCCGAGCCATGACCACCAAGTCTGTTTGTGTTAATTCTGTCATCCAAGGGAACATATGACAAGATTTTCTACGGATTTTGCAAAAATGGAATATGATCTTATTAAAATAGTAAGGTTTCCATTATGATTGATGAAATTTAAAGCATATATATTGACATTTTCAGAAAATTATGAACTGAATGATGTTTAGAAAAACATCTCTGATATAGAGGGGGTGAAATACATGTTACGAAGTAATAAATTTGTTGCAGGGTTAAACTGAAGCAAGGATTAAATATAAATTAACCATACATTCCAGGTTTTCTGAATTTTGATTGAAAAAATGAAATAAACTAATCAAATCTAATAAAAGCTGAACTAGGAAGCAAAAGATGAGCTCACAATTGACATGTCTATGTGAATAATCACCCCTATTTGCTTCATAGATTAAACAAAGAGATTTGCAGATTCTCTAAACAAATTATCAGTCTAATGAAGAACACTAACTAATGCTAAAAATATCATAAAGTAGGAAACAAAAAAAAAAACTAGAAACCTAAAATGTAAACCTGGAGTTGCATCCCTTTGAATTCCAGAACCGTGAATCCTGATGTCAAACTCCGTCCTGAGTACCGGCCTTGAGCATATTCGCAAAACTGGCCGCCATTAGCTGGACGGTGTCAGATGAAAGGTCAAACAAGCGATTGAGAGCTGGATTGCACAAACATGGAGTATCCCTGTCGCGATGTTGAGAACTCCATCGCTTATGCCAGACTCTGCGCCAACGGCATGTCCCGATTGTCCTCCAATCGCTCAGATTAGGTTCCCAATGAGAGCTTCTTCCCTTGCCAAGTCGGCCTTGAGCCTCTGTATGGAACGATGTTTATTCAAAGCAATGTTAATGAAGTAGAAGGGAGACGGAAGTATGCGCAGATGGAGGTTGGGAAAAGTGAAATAAAAAACCATTAATGAAAAAAGAAAAGTTAAAAATGAAAAGAAGGGCCGGCTGGGCCATAAATGATATTTTGCACCCATTAAGAGACTATGCGGGTAATTTGCACTATTTACAATGTTTGGTACAAGTCTCGTATATTCACTATACGAAATGTACTTGGTACATACCTCAATACCATTATGCATGTTGTTTCATTGTTCACACAATTTTTACTCGGTTAGTTCAAATAAGAATTATACGATGAAAATAAACCATTTCTACACATCTAAACCAAATATCTTCAACTTAATAGATATTTGGTATCCGAGTAAATTCAAATTTAGTGTCGTGGGAATTCCCTATATTCAAATTTTGATAAGAATGGTCTCAAATACACTCCCTAAATTAGTTGATATCCCCATTTATATTGGGAAAATACACGGTTAATGAATACGACATTTTTGGTACTTAAGTGAAATGGCTAAATCCGGTTTTACTGATTCCCATTCATAATGCGAAATACAGGTAAATGAGTATAAATTATGCGATTTTATTTACGAATATAGGACATAATTCCTAAATAGGGTTATATACAAATTCTTATGCACGTGAAGTGGTATCCATTGTATATTGGAGGGTAGTATTAGGATGTCTTCTTTTGGACTGTTTTCAGTCCCAGACCAGACCAGACCAGATCAGACCAGACCAGACCAGACCAGACCAGACCAGATCAGACCAGACTTCCGTAGTTATAAAATACACAGAGACCAGACGTTTACCAGACCAGATCAGACCAGACCAGATCAGACCAGACCAGACCAGCAAATTTCAGTCCAAAAGAAAACATCCTTAGTGGTAATGACAACCCTATATAGTATTATAATCGGTACAGTTTAACTGTACACACTTATAAGTATGTGTGTAATAAATAGGTTGTACGAATGTACAACCTATTAAATTCCTTGATCAAAATTGTAATTAATATTGGTAATGTAAATAATAACATATCTTACAAATCTTTAATCCCTTCTATCCAAATATGGGAATTTCATTACGACATTAATACAGTCCTATCATGTATAGTTCCAAAACTATACATGATCAAATAATCGTATATTGATATACATGTAATACACATAGTATTACATGTAACACTCATATTATGTACTAAAATTACGTATAGTACCATGCCAAATTATTAAGATATCGTGGTTAGGTACATGTTAAATCCTGAATACTCAATCATATCTGGGAAATATGATACGTATTTCGACGTATAATGGCCAGTAAATTCTATGGGATTAACATTGTGAATATAAGGTATGATATTAAGCCACGTAAGTTAGTTCATATTATCACCTAGTCTATTAGATGGGTATTCAATGAATCATCCATGTCACTGAGATATAAACGTATTACCCATTGTAATACACGCTAGAAATCAATATACAATAAGTCAATGGGTTTAGAAGACAATCATGTATATCTCGACTATGAATGGTTTTTCATATAACAGGTAGTGGATTTAGTAGAATTGTAATATATGATTTGCACAGATATGTATATACTACGTATATATGATTGTCCCTTGATATACTAAGATGGATAATTAAAAGGTATAACATTTTAATACCACTTGTACAAATAGACGAAAATATCACCCTGGAGAAAATTATCTTAGTTCAGTCATATTTACGAGTTGCAATTGATCACAATACCCATGTACTGGGTTTACACTACTAGAAAAATGTTCTACAGTGACACTATGCCACATGTCAATTAATTAAAAGGGTTTCTATTCTACATCATCCAAAGTGGACTAGCGGAAGTTTCAAGTATTAAAAATTACTCCAATGCATAAAGTCTATGGCCCAAGTCAATTATACATGTGGCTTTATTTTTAAGTAATAAAGCATTATTACCCCTATACGTTATTAGTTAGGTTTCAACTGAAATCATCCGCTCGAAGCATCGGCACAAGCTCCTGCTCTTTTTCAGTCCTATTCCATTGAAGTTATTCCAAGAACAGGTAATTTATGTTAGCAGATTAATCAAATTGAACACTTTTCGTTGATGACTGATAGGCTATGGCGATAGTTATTAGTTTGTTATGATGTTAACGAAAGAGAGAAAGAGAGAATGTGGGAGCAAATCTAAAAATCTTATTACTGACTCAGGTTGTGACACCGCACCCGAACGTCCTTGAAAATTCGATTTAAAAATTCAAAAGTGATGTATTGAATCTCCGATTTCAAAGCAATGGAAGAAACGATTAATATTTTACGAAGTACATGATTGAATATCGTACTGTTCAAACTCGTACATTAGTGTCGGGTTTCGCAAATACTTACTCGGGACTTATTAATAAATAAAAGAGCCCAACATTATCTATATAAGTGATCGAAGGATTAAAGAAGAATACAAATGCCTATAACCCCATCTTTGGCATTTTTGAGCTAAATAATGGGAGTAGGATTTTCCTTCTATAACATCCATCAAGTAAATTATTGGGATGAGCCTACACATATTGGAGGTCAATAATGTGATTTAGGAAGTTGACTTGTTCTAAATAAATTAGGATGAGTACAAAAAGACATCTTTGACAAAGATAAAACAATAGGACCCATCTTCCCATTTTTGGGAGTATTGGTAGATATTTTGGACCCCAAATTGATTGGGATTAATTGGGGGGCATCCCATGTGGCTTGAGTACCTGCAAGACAAGGAAAATATGTGAGGAGACTCACCTTGGCCGCACCACATGGAGAAGCATTGCCCATGACACAATTGGGATCAAATTTTGGGGCCACCACCACTGTTTTCGCACAAACAGGTGTGCTGTTTTGTCTCCCTTCATTTTGAGAGTTGTACTCGTCCATATGGGGTGTATAAGGTGTCTTTGGATAGCTTTTGAAGTCTATTTTCATATTTGAGTGGCCACAGTTCGAGAGGAGAGAGCAATCATCCAAAAATCGATCTGGAACGAGCAGAGGTCTGTGAACTCGAGCTGTGAGAGTGCTGAGACGGTTTGGTCGATATCTCGAGTTTTACCAATCCAATTAAGGCGTGTGAGATACCAAAAGAAAGCTCTCAAGACGAGGAATCCGTGAAGGTCTGGTTTGCATCAATCGGAGTAGATTAAGGCTTCCAAATCGTCCGAACAGAACGCGACCTCGCAGGAACGGATTTACTCTTCTAAGTGAGTTGTTAATCCCAAAACCTTTCCATTCATTTTCCAAATGATATGAACGATTGGTGGAACTATTATACACTACTCCAAGTGTATAATATGTCCCTATTAAGTTATTTTATTGATGTAAAGGTTAGATACTAACCTAGATGCAAATATTGGAAAACTAGGAATCGAGTTAGCCGGAAAACACCCGTTCGAGGGGCTGTTTTCGTATCAACGATTAGGGGTTGAAATAGCAACTTGAGGAGGCTGTTTAGCACCCATTTCTAAGCAAGGAATCAGTTCTCAAGCTTCCTTGGCCGAGGCTTTGGTCATTGGATCGAGAAGGAAAGTTTTAAAGCTCATTTGAGGTGAGGATCGACATCTAGTTGCTTACAACTTGTAGGTTAAGCATGAGATTACCTAAATGCCTAAATAATGTTTTCCATGGATTATGATGATAAACTATTGATGGAATATTGATCTATTTGCCAAAGAATGAAATGGGAAATGATTTGGTAAAGTATTGATAAAAATGGAGTTAAATGAACTATTGTGTGAAATAGGCATTTTACTCATGTGTGCATTGTGTAGATACATAAATGATTATTTATGTATTACATTGAATGATTAAGTTGCTGCTACATATCTCTAAATATGTAGGGTTTTACAAATGGAATATATGATGGATAAGAATAATCTTAATAGTATTGAAATACTAGTTAATGATTGTTGTAATTGTTAAGGAATTGAATCTATGGATTTGATTGAAATTGATGAACTTGATTGTGATGCAAGTGACTAAATTGATGTAATGTGATGCTAAGACCATGGTTGGGCAGTCCGTAAGGACGTCCCAAAATAGATTATTGATATTACAATTCTAGGCATAGTGAGTGCTTAGGAATTGGGGTCTATGCCAATGTAAGGAGATGTACTTGAGCCGTGCTCATAGAATTGCATTGGGTAGACATGATGAGGTGATTGTAGTGCTTAGGAATTGGGGTCTATGCCAATGTAAGGAGATGTACTTGAGCCGTGCTCATAGAATTGCATTGGGTAGACATGATGAGGTGATTGTAGTGCTTAGGAATTGGGGTCTATGCCAATGTAAGGAGATGTACTTGAGCCGTGCTCATAGAATTGCATTGGGTAGACATGATGAGGTGATTGTTGTGCATGGTGATGTAGTCGAGTTGGACTCGAGAATGCAAACATATGTGATAGGGTTGAACCCTATGTATTGTTGTGACTAGGGGTCACGGGATTTTGGGGTATGTTTGATGAACAAACCTTGGGCCTATGGGCCGACTACTTGACTTTATATATAAAGTAAGTATATTTTTAAAAAGGGGTAACTTGGGGTTACGGCCTATATTATACTATCACCCTATTTGAGGGTCTTGTGTTTGAAATACTTGTTGTATATCTATTAGATGCCATCCACACCAGCACTTTATAGCCCTATAGAGTGCTGACCCCTTCGGGGGCGTCCCACCACCATTTTTCAGGTTGAGGCTAGAGCTTGCTTCCTGTGCTCGTTGCTCGAGAGATCATCTAGGAGCGAAGACTTGGTTCGTGCTTCCTCCATTCGGGTTTTAAACATTAATAAACATGCTCATGGATATTTTACTATAGAGCCTGCGTGCTCATGAATAGCCCGGTGTGGCCTTTTGTTTTAAACAATGTTTTCCGCTGCGTTATGAATTACTTATTATGTTTTGTTTATGGATGTATATGTGTGAATGATATTCAAGACGCCTTGTATATTATGAATGTGTTGAACTGCGGTTGGCTATTCATATTGTACGGCGGGTTGTTGACGTGTCCGGATAGGTCCGGGGCGTGACAATTAAGTTGGTATCAGAGCCTTAGTCCATAAACTTCATAATGAAGTCTCAAAATTCTCTTTTCAAAATGATTTTTGAAAACCATGAGCAAAGACGTTTTGTACTTAAGGACTTTTGGTGTTTGAGTTGCAAGGTCTCTAATTGTTAAGATGGCGCCCTTAACGATTGGTATGGCGGTGACTTGGCCCAAGAGATGTCTTAAGTGCCTATCTGTCAGTTGACATTTGAAACGAGTCTAATGACTCATTCTAATTATTTCTTTCAGCGATGGAGGGTGATGGTGGTATTATGAATAGGGAGAACTCGGAAGGGCTTGCACCGGGTGGAACCGGGCATGCCAACCGAGAAAAGCCCTTAGGACCAAAGGTGCATGAAATTCTTGAAGCTCAAATCGTGAGTGGTGGTCATGTTAAGACCAAGGAAGAATCATCTTGTTATGGCAAAACTGAACCACTCAAGGCTTCGGGTGACGAAGGAGATGATTTGAGTGATGAGGACCTTGATAATGCACCCATTGAACAAATGGGCATGGTCATAAATTGGCTTCAACGTGAACGTGCTAGTCTTATACAAAAACGCCAAGCTAGGCAAGCTAAGGACGCACCATTAGGAAGGAAAAGAAAATGGGGAGACCACGACCCCCAAGGACATTCTAGGAGGACAAATGTTGAGGGTGACAAAACCTTCGGGGCACACACATTATCGCTTGGGAGGAGCCGAGGCTCGGGTGGCCAGAGCTCGAGGTCAAAAGGTTCGAGAGTACCTAAGTGCACAAATTGTAAGAAGCACCACCCGGGTAAGTGTTGGGACCCTCCTAGGTGCTACCGATGCAGAGAGATCGGGCACACGAATGCGAATTGCCCACAACTTGTACCCGACCAAACTTTGGGCTCAAGTAGTACGACTATAGGCATACGGAGTCAAGCCGGGGCCTCTCAAGCAAGTAAGGAACATGGCGGAGCAAGTGTGAGTAACGCGCCGTCTGTGAATCAAGGGAGGACTCACGCTAGAGTCCATGCGATGGCGGGGGCGGATGCTCAAGCTAACCCGGATTCTGTTTCAGGTATCACCTCTCGTATACTTGTGTTTTATCCTTAATTAGTCCAAAAGTTAAGGTTACTAATCGTTAGGATCATTGCACAAGGTTTTGGGGTCGAACCGGGGGATTCCGGGCTACTTCAGGCGGCTGGAACCCAGGCACGATCGTGCCTAAGGCAGACACGATCGTGCCTCCAAGTCAGTAGCTGCCCAGGAATTTCCCCAGCCCAGGCACGATCGTGCCTAAGGCAGACACGATCGTGCCTACAAGGCAGTAGCTCCCCAGGTGTTTCTCCAAACCAGGCACGATCGTGCCTAAGGCAGACACGATCGTGCCTCCAAGGCAGTAGCCCCCAGGGCTTTTTCCTGAGCCAGGCACGATCGTGCCTACCCCAGGCACGCCGTGCCTGGCACCCAGATTGCCGAAATGTGATTTTTCGCACCGTTTTGCGACGTTAAGACCTTTTCTTGATCCCTAACATGCGTGTGAACATTGTAACCTCCTATAAATGAGTAGGGAGGGTAGGAAAAATGTCTTACATGGTTCATGAATGTAGGGACACTAAGGATTAATGGGAAGGATGCGCGAATCCTTATCGATACCGGGGCGCAACGTTCATTTGTGAATGAAGCGTTCGCCAAGAGGTTGGGGGTGCAATCCGCACCATTGATGCAAACCTTAGTGGTATCAACACCACTAGGAGATGACGTGGAAAGAACTTGTTATTATCCATCTTGTGGGGTGGAGGTTAATGGTCAAACCTTGACGTGTGACTTCGTACCGCTGAGCATGATTGAATTCGATGCAATCCTAGGGATGGATTGGCTAGAAAGGAACCATGCTAGGGTAGATTGCTACACGAAGGTTCTTGAACTCGAAAGCAATGATGGGGAGACCCTACGCTTCGAGGGCGATCGAGGGAGATCAAATAGCTGTATCATATCCGCCGTGAGAGCGAGAAGTATGATGGGGAAGGGATGCCACGCATATCTAGCATACGTGGTTGACAAAACCAAAGAGGAAACGAACATCGATGATGTGAGGGTGGTTTGTAAGTATCCGGATGTCTTCCCTAAAGACCTACCGGGGCTTCCACCTGATAGAGAGATTGAATTTGTGATCGAGGTCGAGCCTGGTACCAAACCAATCTCCATACCGCCATACCGTATGGCACCCGCCGAACTTAACGAGTTGTAAACCCAATTGCAAGAGCTTTTGGATAACGGTTTCATTAGACCAAGCCACTCCCCGTGGGGAGCGCCAGTTCTTTTTGTGAAAAAGAAAGATGGGACACTTCGAATGTGTATTGACTACCGTCAACTGAACAAGGTCACAATCAAGAATAGGTATCCTTGCCTAGAATTGATGACTTGTTTGACCAACTACGAGGGGCAACCGTGTTTTCAAAGATTGATTTGAGGTCGGGTTACCATCAATTGAAGATTAAGGAAGACGACATACCAAAGAGTGCTTTCCGCACAAGGTATGGGCATTTTGAGTTCCTTGTTATGTCGTTGGGTTAACAAACGCCCCAGCGGCATTCATGGACTTGATGAACCGAGTATTTCATAAATACTTGGACCGATTCGTGATTGTGTTCATAGATGACATTTTGATTTACTCAAAGAGTGAGGAAGAGCATGAAGAGCACTTGATACTCGTTCTTGAGACACTACGGGAGAAGCAACTTTATGCCAAATTTTCTAAATGCGAATTTTGGCTAAAGGAAATTTGCTTTCTCGGGCACGTGGTTTCGGGATCGGGAATTGCTGTTGATAACAAGAAAATGGAGGCCATTACCAAATGGGAGAGACCGAAGAATGACAAGGAAATTCGTAGTTTCCTCGGATTGGCAGGCTATTATAGAAAGTTCGTGGAGAAGTTCTCTGTTTTGGCGTCGCCGTTGACGAAGCTCACTCGAAAGGGAGCTAAGTTTATATGGGATGACAAATGTGAGAAAGGGTTCATCGAACTGAAGAAGCGATTGACTGAGGCACCAGTACTTGCATTACCCAAACAGGGTGTGGGGTACGATGTCTATAGTGACGCGAGCATCCAAGGGTTTGGGTGTGTGTTGATGCAGGAAGGGAGGGTAATTGCCTATGCTTCACGGCAGTTGAAGAAGCATGAGGTAAATTATCCTACCCATGATCTGGAGCTGGGAGCGGTGGTGTTTGCACTGAAGATTTGGAGACATTATCTCTACGGAGAGACATGTCACATATATACCGATCATAAGAGCTTGAAGTACGTGTTTACTCAGAAAGAGTTAAACATGAGACAGAGACGGTGGATGGAGTTGATAAAGGACTACCATCTAGTTATTGAGTACCATCCAGGTAAGGCAAACGTTGTAGCAGATGCCCTCAGCCGGAAGAGTTCGTCTGGGGCATTGTTGACTAGTTTGAGGGCACTGAGGGCCCAATTGGAGGTATCCAGCGACGGTGCCTTATTGGCACGGTTCGAAGTGAGACCGACTCTACTTGATGAGATCAAGAAGGGTCAAGAGAAGGACACAGAACTTATGAAGGTCCGGGAACGCATGCAAGCGGGACCGGTGGAGGATTTCAGGGAAAGAGATGATGGTCTCTTGTTATTTCGTGACCGAGTGGGTGTACCGTCAGATGATGAGCTCCGAAGGTCCATCTTAGAGGAGGCTCATTCATCGGCTTATGCCATGCACCCGGGGGCACGAAAATGTACTGTGACTTGAAAGAAAGTTACTGGTGGTCTGGAATGAAGAGGGAAATAGCCGAATACATTAGTCGATGCCTTACTTGTCAACAAGTTAAGGCGGAACATCAGCATCCAGCAGGCTTATTGCAGCCACTTTCCATTCCTGAATGGAAGTGGGAACACGTGACTATGGATTTCGTGGTAGGTTTACCACGGACAATCAGGAACTATGATGCAGTTTGGGTCGTTGTGGATAGGCTCACAAAGAGTGCACACTTCTCGCCTATCAACACTACCTACCCACTTGAGAGGTTAGCCAAATTGTATACGGATGAGATCGTGAGGCTGCATGGGGTCCCAGTGACCATTGTATCCGATAGAGACCCACGATTCACATCACGTTTTTGGCCGAAATTTCAGGAGTCTATGGGAACAAGGTTGAAGTTCAGTACTGCTTTCCACCCACAGACGGATGGACAGTCTGAAAGAGTCATACAGATCTTGGAAGACATGTTGAGGGCTTGTGCATTGGAGTCCCAAGGAAGTTGGGACAACCACTTAGCACTTGTGGAGTTTGCTTATAACAACAGTTATCAGGCAAGCATTGGCATGCCTCCATACGAGGCATTGTATGGGAGGAGGTGTCGTACACCGTTATGCTGGGACGAGGTTGGCATGGCCAAACTCGAGGGTACTGAGTTGGTTGAGGTCACCAAATCAAAGGTGAAATTGATTCGAGAGAGACTCAAAGCGGCTCAGGATAGACAAAAGAGTTATGCAGATAAGCGTCGAAGAACCTTAGAGTTTAAGGTTGATGACGAGATATTCTTGAAAGTTTCTCCTTGGAAAGGGATCATTCGGTTCCAAACCCGAGGAAAACTTAACCCACGATATATAGGTCCATTCAGAATTATAGAGAGGGTTGGGGCCGTTGCATATCGTCTACAGTTGACTCCTGAGTTAGAGAAGATACATAATGTGTTTCACGTATCCATGCTTAAGAAGTATGTGCATGATCCCTCTCACGTATTGGAGAAGCCACCTGTAGAGGTACGTGAGGATTTGAACTACGCTGTTCAACCTATCAAAGTCACCGATAGAAAGGTGAAGAAGCTGAGGAGCGAAGAAGTCTCAATGGTTAAAAACCTGTGGAAGAGCGATCGGGTCGAGGAAGAAACATGGGAAACGGAGGCTTTGATGAGGAAGCAGTATGCTTTCCTATTCGAGTAGAGCTGTGAATTTCGGGGACGAAATTCCTGTTAAGGGGGGGTGAACTTGTGACACCGCACCCGAACGTCCTTGAAAATTCGATTTAAAAATTCAAAAGTGATGTATTGAATCTCCGATTTCAAAGCAATGGAAGAAACGATTAATATTTTACGAAGTACATGATTGAATATCGTACTGTTCAAACTCGTACATTAGTGTCGGGTTTCGCAAATACTTACTCGGGACTTATTAATAAATAAAAGAGCCCAACATTATCTATATAAGTGATCGAAGGATTAAAGAAGAATACAAATGCCTATAACCCCATCTTTGGCATTTTTGAGCTAAATAATGGGAGTAGGATTTTCCTTCTATAACATCCATCAAGTAAATTATTGGGATGAGCCTACACATATTGGAGGTCAATAATGTGATTTAGGAAGTTGACTTGTTCTAAATAAATTAGGATGAGTACAAAAAGACATCTTTGACAAAGATAAAACAATAGGACCCATCTTCCCATTTTTGGGAGTATTGGTAGATATTTTGGACCCCAAATTGATTGGGATTAATTGGGGGGCATCCCATGTGGCTTGAGTACCTGCAAGACAAGGAAAATATGTGAGGAGACTCACCTTGGCCGCACCACATGGAGAAGCATTGCCCATGACACAATTGGGATCAAATTTTGGGGCCACCACCACTGTTTTCGCACAAACAGGTGTGCTGTTTTGTCTCCCTTCATTTTGAGAGTTGTACTCGTCCATATGGGGTGTATAAGGTGTCTTTGGATAGCTTTTGAAGTCTATTTTCATATTTGAGTGGCCACAGTTCGAGAGGAGAGAGCAATCATCCAAAAATCGATCTGGAACGAGCAGAGGTCTGTGAACTCGAGCTGTGAGAGTGCTGAGACGGTTTGGTCGATATCTCGAGTTTTACCAATCCAATTAAGGCGTGTGAGATACCAAAAGAAAGCTCTCAAGACGAGGAATCCGTGAAGGTCTGGTTTGCATCAATCGGAGTAGATTAAGGCTTCCAAATCGTCCGAACAGAACGCGACCTCGCAGGAACGGATTTACTCTTCTAAGTGAGTTGTTAATCCCAAAACCTTTCCATTCATTTTCCAAATGATATGAACGATTGGTGGAACTATTATACACTACTCCAAGTGTATAATATGTCCCTATTAAGTTATTTTATTGATGTAAAGGTTAGATACTAACCTAGATGCAAATATTGGAAAACTAGGAATCGAGTTAGCCGGAAAACACCCGTTCGAGGGGCTGTTTTCGTATCAACGATTAGGGGTTGAAATAGCAACTTGAGGAGGCTGTTTAGCACCCATTTCTAAGCAAGGAATCAGTTCTCAAGCTTCCTTGGCCGAGGCTTTGGTCATTGGATCGAGAAGGAAAGTTTTAAAGCTCATTTGAGGTGAGGATCGACATCTAGTTGCTTACAACTTGTAGGTTAAGCATGAGATTACCTAAATGCCTAAATAATGTTTTCCATGGATTATGATGATAAACTATTGATGGAATATTGATCTATTTGCCAAAGAATGAAATGGGAAATGATTTGGTAAAGTATTGATAAAAATGGAGTTAAATGAACTATTGTGTGAAATAGGCATTTTACTCATGTGTGCATTGTGTAGATACATAAATGATTATTTATGTATTACATTGAATGATTAAGTTGCTGCTACATATCTCTAAATATGTAGGGTTTTACAAATGGAATATATGATGGATAAGAATAATCTTAATAGTATTGAAATACTAGTTAATGATTGTTGTAATTGTTAAGGAATTGAATCTATGGATTTGATTGAAATTGATGAACTTGATTGTGATGCAAGTGACTAAATTGATGTAATGTGATGCTAAGACCATGGTTGGGCAGTCCGTAAGGACGTCCCAAAATAGATTATTGATATTACAATTCTAGGCATAGTGAGTGCTTAGGAATTGGGGTCTATGCCAATGTAAGGAGATGTACTTGAGCCGTGCTCATAGAATTGCATTGGGTAGACATGATGAGGTGATTGTAGTGCTTAGGAATTGGGGTCTATGCCAATGTAAGGAGATGTACTTGAGCCGTGCTCATAGAATTGCATTGGGTAGACATGATGAGGTGATTGTAGTGCTTAGGAATTGGGGTCTATGCCAATGTAAGGAGATGTACTTGAGCCGTGCTCATAGAATTGCATTGGGTAGACATGATGAGGTGATTGTTGTGCATGGTGATGTAGTCGAGTTGGACTCGAGAATGCAAACATATGTGATAGGGTTGAACCCTATGTATTGTTGTGACTAGGGGTCACGGGATTTTGGGGTATGTTTGATGAACAAACCTTGGGCCTATGGGCCGACTACTTGACTTTATATATAAAGTAAGTATATTTTTAAAAAGGGGTAACTTGGGGTTACGGCCTATATTATACTATCACCCTATTTGAGGGTCTTGTGTTTGAAATACTTGTTGTATATCTATTAGATGCCATCCACACCAGCACTTTATAGCCCTATAGAGTGCTGACCCCTTCGGGGGCGTCCCACCACCATTTTTCAGGTTGAGGCTAGAGCTTGCTTCCTGTGCTCGTTGCTCGAGAGATCATCTAGGAGCGAAGACTTGGTTCGTGCTTCCTCCATTCGGGTTTTAAACATTAATAAACATGCTCATGGATATTTTACTATAGAGCCTGCGTGCTCATGAATAGCCCGGTGTGGCCTTTTGTTTTAAACAATGTTTTCCGCTGCGTTATGAATTACTTATTATGTTTTGTTTATGGATGTATATGTGTGAATGATATTCAAGACGCCTTGTATATTATGAATGTGTTGAACTGCGGTTGGCTATTCATATTGTACGGCGGGTTGTTGACGTGTCCGGATAGGTCCGGGGCGTGACACAGGTATTTATACATGCAGTACAACAGGCTTATTACAATTCATATATTTGGGCCTATTACAACTCCTAGCCCAGTCCACTGAGATTCTTATTACTCAACACACCCCCTGAATCTCAGTACAAGAACATAAATTCAAAGCACTTCGAAGTTTCAAGAACAACTGAATCTTCAATGGTTTTGTCAAGATATCGGCTAACTGCTCATGTGTACTGCAATACTCCAAAATCAATCTTCCTTTATTTACTTGATCCCTGAGAAAATGAAACCGAGTATCAATGTGTTTGCTCCTTGCATGTGCCACTGGATTATTTGCTAGATGGATAGCTGACTGATTGTCTATTCTCAGTAATGGTACACTCTCAGTCTTAATCTGCATTTCTCCCATTAATTTCTGTAACCACATAACTTCACACGCAGCATAGGCACCTGAGATATATTCAGCTTCACACGAAGATAGTGCAACTACAGGTTGTTTCTTTGAACACCAAGAAACAGGAGCATTTCCAATCATGAATATGTATCCAGTTGTGCTCTTCCTGTCAGTGATGTCTCCAGCCCAATCTGAGTCTGCATATCCATTTAATATTGAAAATTTTCCATCAACTGAATTTGACAACAATATACCAAAATCAAGTGTCCCTTTTATGTATCTCAATATCCTCTTGGCTGCTATCCAGTGAGACATCCTTGGATCATCCATGAACCTGCTGATCAGACCAACACTATAAGCAATATCAGGTCTGCTTGAACACAGATACCTTAGGCTTCCAACTAACTGCTTAAAGAGTGTTGGATCAACTGACTCCTCATTTTCACACTTCCCAAGTTTCAAATCAGTTTCACATGGTGTCATAGCTGGATTACAATGTTGCATCTGGAATCGTTTAAGCACTTCCTCTGCATACTTCCTTTGATGAATAAGATATCCTTTCTTAGTATGAACAAATTCCATACCAAGAAAGTAAGTCAGGCTCCCAATATCAGTCATTTCAAACTCATCTTGCATCTTCTTCTTAAATTCATCAATATGAGTTTTATTGCTTCCTGTAATTAATAGATCATCCACATAGAGGCAAACAATAAGTAGATCTCCATTCTTCACTCTAGTATACACACCATGCTCCACACTGCATTTATTGAAACCCAGCTTGCTCAAGTAACCATCAATTCTCCTATTCCAAACCCTAGGAGCCTGCTTAAGCCCATATAAAGCCTTCTTGAGTTTATACACTTTCTTTTCTGAGCCTTTTATCTCAAACCCTGGTGGCTGTGCTACATATACTTCTTCTTGCAGTGGACCATTCAAAAATGCTGACTTTACATCCATTTGATGTAAAAGCCATCCTTTTAAACTTGCCACTGCCACTACTGCCCTTATTGTCTCCAGTCTAGCCACAGGTGAGAAGACTTCATCATAGTCCACACCTTGTTTTTGCTGAAAACCCCTTGCTACTAACCTGGCTTTGTATTTTGCAATGGATCCATCTGGCTTCCTCTTTAATTTGTATACCCATTTCAGTGTGATTTGTCTCCTGTTATTAGGCAAGTCAGTTAATGCCCAAGTGTTATTCTTGCTTATTGAATTCAGCTCTTCCTTCATAGCTTCTAGCCACTTAGAATCCCTCATTGCATCTTCATGTGTTATGGGTTCTTTTTCACTGTAGAAGGCAAAGTGAACCAAGTCACCATCCTTATTGATGGCATTATCTGGGAGCAACTCATATTCTTCCAACCTTGTTGGTATCCTTTTGCTTCTCACTGGTCTTGTAGGCTGAGATCCACTTGGTTCTGCACCAGAACCATTGTGATAAGTATGACCTTCAGATTCTTCTTCAAAATCAGTGGTAAGTATTGGAATTGAGCTCTCATCTTCTTTATCATCTTTCCAGTTCCAACTGCTTGATTCATCTACTATTATGTCTCTACTTATCACACATTTATTCTCAACTGGATTCCAAAGCTTGTAGGCACCAGTTGGATCATATCCCACTAGAATCAGCTTCTCACTTTTATCTTCTAACTTTCTTCTCTTCTCATTTGGGATGTGTCTATAGCATACTGACCCAAACACTCTCAAATGGCCTACTGAAGGTTTCACTCCAGTCCATACTTCTTCAGGAGTAATGTACCCCAACCTTTTTGTAGGACATAAGTTCAAAAGGTATGCTGCAGTAGTCACAGCTGCACCCCAATAACCATGTGGTAGATTATTGGTTTTGAGCATGCTTCTTGCCATGTTCAACACTGTCCTATTTCGCCTCTCAGATACACCATTGTGCTGTGGTGTATATGGAGCAGTAACCTCATGAACAATGCCCTCTTTCTCACAGAGATCCTTAAAATCTCCATTCACATATTCACCTCCTCCATCTGTTCTTATGGTTTTCAAAAACATGCCACATTGTTTTTCAGCCATACTCTTGAACCTTTTGAACACTGAGAATACATCAGACTTGTGCCTTATAAGGTAGATCCACATCTTCCTGCTGAAATCATCAGTGAATGAAACAAAATACATATTTCCATTCAGAGATGGACAATCAAAAGGCCCACACACATCTGAATATACCACTTCCAGTAATTGCGTAGTTCTCATTGGAATCCAACTTTTGAATGATTTTCTAGTTTGCTTTCCTGAAATACAGTACTCACATAACTTCTCTCCACATTCTATTCTTGACAGTCCTGAAACCATTCCCTTATCAGCTAGTGTTTTTAGACTCTTCCAATTAAGATGTCCCATCCTATAATGCCATAGCCAACTGTCCTCCTGTATTCCAGACTTAAAGCATACAGACTTTCTCACATTCATGTCAATTTTAAAGGTCCTATTAGCTGCCAATGGAGCCTTTAAAATTAACAAGCCATCACAGTCATAAATCCTCATACATTTGTCTTTCATATCAATACTGTAATCTTTCTCAAGCAACTGCCCAATGCTAAGTAAATTATGCTTCATTTTAGGCACAAACAATACATCATAAATGAGAGCATGTTTACCATTTTTGCACTTGATTTGAATCTTTCCTTTTCCTTCTGAACTTACAGTGCTATTATCAGCAAATTTCACTGTGCTTTTGGTGGTATCATCTAGTTCCAAGAACCAGTCCTTCCTACAGGACATGTGATTTGAGCATCCCGTGTCCAGGTACCATGCATTCTTCACACTTTTGTCACCCTCTGAAACAGTTGTTGTCATAAGCAACACCTCTTCCTCATCTGATCCTTCATTCTGTGCTGCCACATTTGCCTCTTCTTGTTTATCTCCAGTCTGATCTCTGTACCAACACTCATAGGAGTAGTGCCCATATTTACTGCAGACATAGCACTGCACATTGGATTTATCTTGTTTCTTCAGATTTTGTACACCATGCCCATTTCCTCTTCCTCCTCTTGTGTTATAACCACCTCTGAATTGGCCTCTCATATTTCCTCCTTTCGCACCTCTGAAACCTCCTCTTGAATTATTCCCAATCTGGAATTTATTCTCAAAATTATCTTGTCCTCTGCCACCAAAATGAGCTCCACGTCCACCTCTTCTTCCTCTTCCTTGACCCCTCATACTTCCTCTTCCTCTTCCTCTTCCTTTAGAGGATTCTTGATTCTTGTTGGATTGGGTCAAAAGGGCTTGATCTGTGACAGACTGTGCAGCGGGCTCCCTTTCTTTTAGTCGTTGTTCATGAACTTCTAATGTTCCCTGTAGTTCTTCTATTTTGAGGGTATCCAGATCACGCCCTTCTTCTATGTTGACAGCAATAATATCAAACTTAGAGGGTAAGGTACGTAATACCTTCTCAATAATAGTTCTCGATTTTAACTCTTCTCCACAATTCTTCATACAATTGGTTATTTGTAAAATCCTGTTCATATATGCAGGAATAGTTTCTTGATCCTCCATCCGCAATAGCTCATATTGACGCCTGAGAGTCTGAAGCCTCACCATCTTCAATTTGGCAATACCGGCGTAGCTAGACTCAAGAATGGACCAAGCTTCCTTGGCTGAGGAAGCTGAGGCTATTTTTTCAAAATTCGCCTCATCCACACACTGATGGATGTAGAAGAGAGCCTTACAATCTCGTTTCTTGGCTTCTCTGTACTGCGTCCTCTGCGCCTCAGTCGCATTTGCCCCAATTTCAGGAACTCCTTCCTGTACAATATCAAGAACATCTTGAAATCCAAAGATTGTCTTCATCTTCACGCTCCACCGTTCATAACAATCCAAATTCTTTGAGTCAAGCACCGGTAAGTTCCCAAGAATGTTACTACTTCCTTGCGCCATGATCGTCAATCGCTGTGGCTCTGATACCACTGATAGGCTATGGCGATAGTTATTAGTTTGTTATGATGTTAACGAAAGAGAGAAAGAGAGAATGTGGGAGCAAATCTAAAAATCTTATTACTGACTCAGGTATTTATACATGCAGTACAACAGGCTTATTACAATTCATATATTTGGGCCTATTACAACTCCTAGCCCAGTCCACTGAGATTCTTATTACTCAACAATGACCATATAATATGGCCGACTTTTTTCAGCTTTTTATATGAATAATATACACGTATAAAACCCAATTATATATATACTGATATACATGTATGTATGTATTATTATAAAACTACATATATGTATATATATATTATAACTTTTCTCTCTCTACATATATATGTATCGTTGTTTATTTGCAATCTTTTATTGATTAGTTTTAAATGATGCGAATTTTTATAGTACGTATAAGAATCTTGATTGTTTTTGTGTTTGAACAGGTTTAAGTTGATGGATATGGCTTCTCCAAATTTTGATTCAGACTCTAATAGTTCATCTTCAAGTGACAGTGAACTTTCACTTTCCAAACATTACTTTCATGGCGCAAATAAGAATTCGGATGGTACCTTGATTGTTTCTTCAATATTGACCGCTGTAAAGTTCTCTCTTGACGGCTCAACATCAAGTAGATGCTATATTCGTTGTGATAGGAAAGAGCGCCATGATATAATAGTTAATGACTATTTCAAAGGTGAAAACTCAAAGTACACCCCTGAACTTTTTCGTCGTAGATTTCGAATGAATATTGAACTATTCAATAGAATACTACAAGATGTTGAGAACTATGACAATTATTTTCAACAAAAGACAGATGCTGTTGGAAACATTGGGTTGAGCCCCCTCCAAAAGATGGTTGCAGCAATACGTATGCTGGCATATGGTTGTCCAGCTGATTTGCTTGATGAATATGTTCAAATTGGTGAAAGTACCGCGGTTGAAAGCTTGAAGCGTTTCTGTGATGCTATTATAGGACTCTATGAAGAGCATTATTTGAGAAAACCAAACAAGGATGATATTAGAGTGCTCCTAGAAGAAAATGAGACTCGAGGATTTCCTGGTATGTTTGGCAGCTTGGATTGCATGCATTGGCAATGGAAGAATTGTCCCACCGCTTGGCATGGCACGCATACGAATGGTTTTAAAAGAGTACCCACTCTTATTTTAGAAGTTGTAGCTTCAAAAAGTTTATGGATTTGGCATGCTTTTTTTGGAATGGCTGGTAGTAACAACGATGTTACCGTTTTAGATAGATCACCCCTATTTGATGATATAATTAATGGTATTGCTCCGCCATGCAAATACATTGTTCAGGGTCATGAGTACAACATGGGTTATTACTTAGCTGATGGGATATATCCAAAGTATGCTACTCTTATCCAAACAATATCTCAACCATTGTCTGTGAAGGAAAAGTTATTTGCCAAAAAACAAGAATCAGCGAGAAAGGATGTTGAGCGGGCATTTGGTGTGTTACAAAGTCGATGGCATATAATTAAAGGACCTGCTCGGATGTGGAGTGCTAAAGACTTGGGAATGATAATGAAGACATGCATCATCTTACATAACATGATTATTGAGAATGAGCGTAGTGAAGGCATTAATCCAGAAGATTGGCGGGACGAAGGAGATGAACCCAGTGAAAGTGTTAATCTTGAGCATGATTTTACCTTAATTATGTCCATGATGATTAATCGAACAAAGGAGATACAAGACACATGGTTACATAGAGAATTAAAAAAGGATCTCATCAACCATTTGTGGGAAGTCTATGGTGGTCAAGTTGATATTGATTAATTTGTTTTTTTTTTTTTTTGCATTTTGTGAACCCTCCATTTTTAATTTAATGTTATACTACGTAAGCTTTATTATTGATGATCCATTATCACGTCTTTAATTTTTATTGGTAGTACGCTCATCATTATAATGGTTATATCTTACATGTTTTCATAACAATGTAAAGATTAACTAGCATTTTTTATTCTCATCCACAGAACCTAGAGTGATTTCTTTTCCTTGTATTCTCTGCACTCCGTATTAAGTTCTACATGGTCACAATACCACACATCATGATTTCTTTTCCTTGTATTCTCTGAACTCATCATGTCATCCACACTGTATACTATCATCATTTAAAACTAGCATTTTTATTGTCATCCACAGAACCAGTGTTTCTTATAGTTTGTATACAAATTGGAGATTAACTAAAACAAAAGTACAGCCTTACTGCATCAGTTTTGAACTTTCGAAAACAGCTTTATAAGAGGAGTCATTAAAATGTGTTTTATAAAAGGCTTACGTTTTCATTTGAACCTTCAAATGAAAACAGGTGTACAAGTGTTGTCTCCCAGCTTTCATGTAATTAAATGACAGGAAAACAAGTTACTCCCAAAACAAACAAATCAATAACGTTATTAATAAACAAACAAGGTTCATATATTTTTAGGAAATATATAACTAAACCATCTAAAACACTAATGCTTAAAGGAATAATAGTCTTTGAAATAAAATGAAACTGACATGTTTGAAACTAAAATGCATTAATATATATCCTATGTATTCAAGTATAAAAGCTGCCAATTCCCCACTCCTTTGATATTTGAGCTTGTAACATTTCATATGTAGCTCTGGCAGTAGGTGATAGCTTACTCAAATCAACATTCATAACGCGTTCTTGTTCTAACCTTTTTTGGGCTCGCTCTCTCATTTCTTGGTCCTTCATCTTTATTTTTTGACTATTCTCTTTTAGTTCTATCTCCTTCCTCATTAGTTCCTTCTTCAACTCCATCTCTGCCATATTAAATTCGACTTGCTTGTCAAAGATACACTGTAATTTACTCAACACTTCTATCACTCCATTTTCTGAATTCAACTTTCGCTTTCTTTCTTTACAACTCTTCCTTCCCTCTGGCCGCACAACATCATCACATGTAAGTTTCTCAGGCTCCACAGAACAATTGCGCACATTAGGTGTGTTCTTATTTGTAACCACTGTGTTACCATTGACTAAACCATCTTTATCTGCTGCCGTTGACTTTGAGAGCTGACTTGTGCACCATTTTGGATTCGTTATCAGAAGTTCCCAGCAATGCACATACATGAATTCCTTTTTCTTATTACCACTACTTGAAAGCCTTTCATACATTCTCAACGCATTTGTTTTCTGTAAAAATAAAAAAAATTAATGCAGTGAAGTATTTGTGCTTTCATATGCATAGCTGAAAGCCTGAAATAAACAAAAATTTAAAGAAACACGTACTAAATCTTCTTGATTTGATCCACTTTGAGGATGCCTTCCAAGTTTCTCATAAATTGCGTGGAACTTATTGATTGCTTTCTGCATTTTGTTCCATCGACATTGGATGTTGTTACTGTTTCTAGCATTAGTAAATTTATCTCCCATGATGTCCCTCCAAACTTGTAAGATTCGCTCCCACATAGCTGTCAGTTTCTGATTGTTACCAACATCAGGATCCATAGAAATAGATAGCCATGCTGTTGTTACTGTAACATCTTCTTCTGAACTCCACTTTGGTTTCTTGCCTTTCTAGTGACCCTTCTTTTTCTGCACTACAACGACATTAGCAAGCCAATTTGGGTATTTTACCTCGCGAATCTTTCCGGTGCGTAGCAGTGTCTCGACTTCCTGGTTAATGATGTCGTTCCTTTCTCTGGCGAAGCGTCGTCTCTTTTGTTGGACCGGCTTGTGTAAAGGGTTGACATTAAGCTTGTGAGTGATTACTTGTGGATCGATACCTGTCATGTCATCGTGACTCCAGGCGAAGACATCCTTGTGTTCTTTTAGAAAAACTACAAGTTCTTCTTCAAACTGAGTCGGCATGTTGCCCCCAATGCGGACGACTCTATCCGGGTGGTCTGGATCAATGTTGATGTCTTTAGTGTTGCTGTCATCTTCACCAACCGGAATGAAGTCTCCCTTTGATTGCTATGCTGATGTTGTGGCAGAGGCAGATGGCTTCATCGCTGTTTGATAGCATGACTTGGCAGCGATTCTGTCACCTTGTATGGATTGCACTCCGCACGGTGTCGGAACTTTAACCAGTTGATGGAATGTTGACAGAATTGCGCCCATTTGATGCAACCAAGGCGTGCCCAGTATCATGTTGTAAGCGGGTAGGTCTTGGACGACATCAAATTTTACCTGCAAGTTAAGGCCAACAGCATGTACAGGTAAAGATACGCTACCTATTGTCTTGCTTGGCTCTCCATTAAATCCAACAAGGGTGGAACCGGAGGTAGTCAAATCTTCTTCTTTGTATCCCATCCGCTTTAGCGTCTTTAAAGTTGTGATGTTGGCAGTGCTGCCATTGTCCACCAGAACTCGTCTCACTTCACAGTTTGCTACCCGAAGAGCAATGACCAATGTGTCATGGTGGACATCAGTGGGATTTGCAAGGTCTGTCTCGTCAAATGTGATAGGTGCATTTCTCCAAGCCTCCTCCTTTCGGAGGACTTGATTCACCTGTGACGACTTGTCTCGGGAATATTCCCGAGCTTGTCTCTTGGCTGCAGAGTAGGTTAGTCCACACAAATCAGAACCACCATTAATGAAATTGATTACCTTTTGGGGTGCTGTGGGTGAGGGAGGTCGTTGTTGTTCTACGGACGACTTGTGATTTCTGTTCAACATGGACTTCGTCTGCTCCGACATGATCTCCGTCAGATAGCCGTTCCTTAAGAGATATGCAACCTCTTTCCTTAGAGCGACACAATCCTCAGTGTTGTGTCCGATGTCGTCGTGGAAGTCACACCTCTTGCTGGGATCTCGTCGCCCGCTGGACCTGTCTGACTTCCTGGGCCATCGAACTTTGTCTCCCAACTTGTCTAGGGCGTTGATAAGTCCGGTTGTGTTGACGTTGAAGCAGTATGTTGGTAGGTGGCAAACTAGGGTCATCAAGCCAAGTGGTCGCTGACGCTACAGTTCGATCTTCATTCTTCGCGTATGGCTTTCCTGTCCTGTAGTCGTGTTTTCTGGAGGTGCTGGCCTTCCGTTGTCCCCCTTCATATCCACTCGAACGAAGACGAGATTGTTCGTCCTCCTCAAGCCGTATGAAGGCCAACGTCATGGCCTGGACATCTTCGAACGTCTTGCATGGAAACTTGGTCAGTTCCCTATACAAGTCCGAGTCTCCACGCAATCCTCTCCTGAATGCCTCTACAGCTGTCGGCGTGTCACATCTTGGAATTGACACCTTTTCCTTGTTGAATCGATGCAAGTAGTCACGTAAGGATTCGTTACGCCTTTGTATTATTCGATACAAGTCGCTGGTTTGCTTCTCCAACGTACGACTACTTGCAAATTGCTGAGTGAACAAGTTAACCAGATCCGCAAAAGAGTCGATGCCCCCGTTCGGTAAGTTGGCGAACCATGTTAACGCTGGACCTGTAAATGTTGTCCGGAAGGCCCTGCACATACAGGCTTCTCGTTGGTCCGCCCTGACTGAAATTGCCAGCATCCTCTGTTTATATTGGGCGACGTGATCTACCGGGTCCGTGGTTCCATCGAATAACTTCATAGATGGGGCTGTGAATTTCCTCGGAATCTCGACGTCTTCTATATGTCGTCCGAATGGGGAATCCACATAGCAGGTTCGTGCAGCCATGTCAAGGGGACGGGAAACCCCTGACATGCCATTATACTTTTCTCGCAATTCTCTTAACTCCTGCATGATGAAGGCTAAAGGTTCTGTCATGTCCATATGCATCTGTGGACCTCCTATTCCGAAATGCTTCCCTGCTTGAGACACCCTCTGCTCGGATGGTGAATGAACGATGATGGTTTCCGGATGTCGACGCCCCTGATTGTTGATGTCGACGACCTCAGTCATGTCGTCACGTCCAGGAACGTGTCGTCTCGGGGGCTCAGTAAACAGATTGCCAAATATGTTCCTTCTGGGGTTCAGAAGTGGTGCAGGACGAGATGACGGTCCTGCTTCTCCTGATGTGCCGGCTCCCGCATGAGGGACGAAAGGCTCTGTGGATGTAGACATAGTGGTTGGAATCGGCATCTGCTGGTGGACAGTCTGCAATCCTGATGTCGTCGTTTTGGTTCGCAACGAATCCGGGAAGAAGCACATGGGGATGCCTGCTTCCGGAGTCGTCGTTGGCACAAGAGGTTCATAGGGTATGAGTTGCGAGATCACCGGGGAACCTTTAGCGTATGGATCAGAATCTGAAAGTCCCGGGAAAGCCTCGGATGCGAACGTGACTGTTGAAGTTGAAACTGGTATGGAGTCCATGTCCAACTTTGATGCGGCAGTCATCACCTCTTTCCCTTTTCGCGAATTTGATGCTATGGATGCCACCGACTGAACATGAGATCTCAAGGCGTCGTTTTCTCCTTGGAGAAGAGCTATTCGTTGACGCATCTCCTCTCTCACGGCTTCGAGCTGGGTCTGAGCATCTTCCTTTGACTGATTGGCCTCCTTGGCCGCTCGTAACTCTTCCCGGACAGCTTCCAATTGTGCCGCTTCAGCACTTTTGGCCGCGCGGAGCTCCTTCCGGACGGCTTCTAGTTGCGTTTGAATTTCATCGAACAAAGGATTAGAGCTTCCGACCATAATTGATTCTCGTTTTGCAAGAATTTCCCACAGACGGCGCCAATTGTTTGAACAAGAAATAATCTACTCTATAATAAAATTATTTTGGGAATCAAGCAATTAAGAATCAAATAATGGCTAATCAAAGTGAGGAAGAAGAAATATGTATTATTAGGCTTTTTGTTTAGCCGAGAGCTTGAGTACAGTTTATGGAGTAATACGTAAATCTTGCCAACGTAATTGCAATTGTAATTCGAAGTAATGTGTGCCTCTTGGGAGGTGAACTAATCTATTTATTAAATTAAATCAACTTCTTCCCCAAGAATAGGAACTGCTAGCCTATTTCCTCTCCACGTGTTGTAGCTCTTATCATATCCCTTGAAGTATTCCATGTCCTTATCTCCATTTTGAACTGCTATAATGGGCTAATGGACTCTTGGAATTGACCGGTAGGTATATTATTCAGCAGTCCTGGTGGGCTTCGCCT